GCACATAGGAATGCAATTAATTTATGATAAATGCGCATAGAAAAGCAATTAATTTATGAAACGGTGAGATGACACTAACATATGTCTACTGAGTTCATTTTCAAAAAGCTTTCAGGATGCAATATTTATGAACTCACATTGAGAGGTATCAGAGATCATTTCCTGATCTTCAATCCCATACGTCACCAATGCATTGTCTGTATATGTTTTGACTGAGAAGCTAACTGGAAAAGACTGTGCTTGAAGCACACAGTGAAACTACATAATTTATGTTTAAAGCCAGGGAACAGACTGCTTTGAAATTCTACTGCACACAGCGTGAGAAGCAATTTTGTCTCCCTATGTTTTCAGATTAAGTGGACTATATTTTCACACATGCCTTAAATTTATTTATTATATAGTTTCAGCGCTAATTAAATATTCAGTTTAATTATTCTGATACAGGTTTTTGTTTTAATAACAAAATGGACAGTTATGCGAATTATTGGCTATGGGCACCTGGGGCCCCTCACGCTACACACAGAGATCCAGCTTCACAGACCATTATATACTGAGCACAAAAAAGGCAACTTTTAATGAATCCAACATTTACATAACAGCACAAAAGCAGCAATCACACTCGTAGTAAACATGGAGAAAGGAGACCAAAAGACAAAAAAACAACAGTTTGACTCTTTACAATAGGGGTGGTGCTAGGGCACTCCTGACACAATACAGTGCACTGCAATGGTTATGGTGCTTGGAGTGTTCCTTTAAGTCTGAAGCATCATGTATCTGTCAAGGCCATGCACAATTTGTATGGCTGAACCGTGCACAGAGCACATTTTTGAGATACCCAGCACTTGCACATGATATCGGTATTAGAGAGTGCACATTGACTCTTTATCCTCATGATCTAAATAAGATTCAAAGATGGCTGCCTATTTAGAGAATAGTTGAGCCTGGATATATTACATAATGGGGTATATACTTATATGTCTGCATTATGGGATGGGACACAACATCTTACAACTAAGGTTTCAAATCTTAAACTGTTTCAAAAGACCTAGGCAGGTCAGGACAGAAAAACGTTATTAAAAAAAACTAATAAAATAAGGATTTGAACATTAGCTCGTGTATGGCCGAAAGCTTTCGACAAAGACAGTGATGTCAGTAAATTTATGCAATCTCACGAAATGTCAGTACATTTCCCTAGATCTCAACCACAACAAAAACAGGAGTTTCTTGGAGAACTGGTGGACTGTGGTTGGTATTAGTTATTACCAAGTGACTCTGCTAAAAGTTAAAAGGCAGGTTTCATTTTTATTTTATTTTATTTTTGATGTACAACTTTTTTCCCCTCTTTTTTATAGATATTTTTTTAATATTTGCTGATTTTATTTAAAACTTTGTCCCTTTTTTACTAATATTTTTCTCTTTGCTATTTTAATTTAAAACCCTTTTTTCCCTTTTTCTTATATATATATATTTTTTTTTTATTTCTTAGCTGTTATTTTAAACTTGTTCCCTATTTTTTTTCTCTTCCTGTTTTTATTCCCCTCCTTATGTGTGCTGCTGTTGCTGAGCTAATTAGGGGGAGTGCCCCTTAATTTCCACCTTTGTGGGATATGTATTACCAATATAAACTCACTACTCACTCACAGAGCTTGCTCACTGAAGTTTGCTTGAAAGTAGTCTCTTTTAAGTAGGATAAAAATACAAAGAAACAAGTCCTGTACTCAAACTCCCATTACTCCTGGGTGGCAGAAATGGCCATAGTACACATCAGCCAAAATACATATAGTAGGTGTTGGTCTTTTAAGTAGGAGTTGAAACAACAGGAGTTGAAACCAAAGGGGGAAAATATTGTTTTGCTAACGTGTGTTTTTGGTAACTGGGGATGAGTGCTAGCAAGTTTGTGGGTTTTACTCAGTGCACATCCTGCTGCATGTATGCATGCCTGGATGAATCTGTCAGGGTCCATACTTTTGTGGCAGGTGTGAACGAATGGCTTTTCTGGAAGCTCAGATTGGAGATCAGGAGAGGCAAATTGCAACACTGACATAGATTGACAATCTTAAGAGAAGTCTTTTGCTCACTGAGCAGAGTTTAGTGGGGACAGGTAGTGGAGTGGGAGGAGATGAGACAGTTGGTGAACAGGCACATAGCTGGGTAAGAGTGGAGCGAGGAAGCGGGGGGAGGGAAGAGGAAAGGTTTGGCTAGTCCTGATCTTGTGCAGCCTTACAGATTTGCCAGTTTGAGTGAAGATGTTGGGAGCATCAGCAAGAAGCTGTTCCTTCTAACCGCTGTAGCAACAGCTCCTCTACTACGGATAGGGATAAGAGTGCAAGGAAGGCTAGACAGGTTGTGGTAGTAGTGGACTTTATTATTAAGAGAGGAGATAGGGTAATCTGCCACTCTAATCGTCTCAACCAGACTGTTTGCTGTCTCCTGGGTGCTCGGGGCCGGCATGTTGCCGACAGAGCGGAGGGATTATTGGGAGGGGCTGGGAATGACCCAGCTGTCATGGTCCATATTGGTAATAATGACAAAGTCAGAGGAAGATGGAAGGTCCTAAAGAATGAGTTCAGGGAACTAGGAAGTAAGCTTAAGAAAAGGACCTCAAAGGTAATAGTTTCAGAAATATTACCTGTGCTACACGCTACAGCAGAAAGGCAGTGGGAGATTAGAGAGGTCGATGCATGGCTGAAGTCTTGGTGCAGGAAAGAGGGTTTTGGGTTTTTAGAGCACTTGGCCAATTTTGCGCTTGGGTACAACCTGTACAGCCGTGATAGATTGCACCTAAATGGAAGAGGGTCTGCTGTGCTGGGGGATATGATGGCTAGAAGATTGCAGGAGATTTTAAACTAGTAGTAGGGGGGAGGGTCATAGCAATCTAGAAAATCGAGATAGGACAGAAAGGAGATTGACTTTAGCTCAGTATAAGGGGGGTGGAGATGAGGGAAGGGCAAGCTCAGAACAGAAAAGGTATGTAATATTGATGAAAATTTACAAAAAGTACTCATGATAATATTAAATGTATGCTTACTAATGCAAGGAGCCTATATAACAGAATGTGGGAACTAGAGGCATTAGCATACACTAAACAATATGATGCAATAGGCATAACTGAAACATGGTGGGATGAGACACATGACTGGGCAGTTAACTTAAATGGGTACATGTTATTTAGGAAGGATAGGAAAAACAAGGGTGGTGGGGTATGTTTGTATGTCAGCCATGAGTTAAAGTCAAATCTTAGGCATGTAGAGTGTGACAAGGAAAATGTGGAAGCTTTGGTGGTAGATATCTGCTTGGGGCAAATTAAGGGAAGTCAATTAATTGGTTGGAATATGTTATAAACCACCAAATGTAAATATTAATGAGGAAGAACAGCTGTTAGAGCAAATTGGTAAAGCTGCAAATCTGGGTAACATGTTAATTATTGGAGATTTTAATTTCCTGTACATAAATTGGGGTAGCGTGACTAGTACTTCAGCAAGGGGAATCAGGTTTTTGAATGTGTTAAATGACACCTTTATGTCACAACTGGTACAAGCACCAACTAGAAAGGATGCTTGTCTGGATCTCGTTATGTTGATCTTTTGACCAACATTCAACATTCATTTTGAAAATAGTGATCAGAATATGGTAATTTTTTAAATAAACTTTAAAAAGCAAAAGCACATGAGGTATAGAAAAACATTTAATTTTAATAAAGCCAATTTCATGAAGATCAGGGCAGCTCTACAACATTTCGACTGGCATAAACTCCTTAGTGAAAAAAACACTGAGGATAAATGGAAACTATTCAAACAAATATTAGAAAGCTACATTTGTGTGAGGGGCAAATAAGGCCGTAGGGGAAATAAGTCGGTTGAGGTGTGCCGGAACCGACGTTGTGGTAGGCCTGTAATAAAAGAGGGCCCACCCATGAGGTGTAATGAAAATAGAGATAGAGGGAGTGGAGGATGGGGAAATGCGAGTCATTAAAAAACGTAAGGGAAGGAGGAAGGTGAGAAAGGGGGTTTAAATAGGTTCCAAGCCCCTCCCACAACTGCAGGCCAAGCCTTAACATTTGTGTGAGGGGCAAATAAGGCCGTAGGGGAAATAAGTCGGTTGAGGTGTGCCAGAACCGACGTTGTGGTAGGCCTGTAATAAAAGAGGGCAAAAATTGGGTACCTGTCAGAAACAAAAAAACAATCAACAAAACCTAATTGTCTAGCTGTATGGAAAAAGCCTAGCGGGGAAATAGTTGCCCAGCACTTGAACCGGTGCTCATAATTGTGCAAGGGTATATTAAACGTGTTGGCCCCCTAGGGTAGACTAAATGTGGGGGGTAGAGAGGATAATCAGTAGGCTGCATGAATAGGTGAGACTTCCTAAGAAAATGCTGCAAGAAGGACATGGTGGCTGTGGGAATGTATGCGGGACCCAAGAAACTGTGGAAGCAAGAAAAGTGGCTCAACAACTAGATACAAAATAAAAGTGACTAGTGCCCATCAAATACAGCCTTCCTCATATTTGTGTTAAAACGGTTGATCCAAAAGAAGGCGAAAAACACAGTTTGAAGCGCTGCCAATTTGCAACAAGCTGGGAAAAAATTCCTTCTTGACCCCATAATGGCAGTCAGATTATCCTTGGATCAAGCAGTTATTGCCCTAACATGTAAAGGTTGGTGCTTGGTTCATAAGGACAGGCAACTAATAGGTCTGATAGTGTTTGAGAAATGGATGCAGATGGGGAATCTGTAAGATGTGAAAATTAACCCGGGTACCGGAAATGACTTGTGTAAGGTACTAAACTGGTATGCGGACATGGAAACTGCGTATGAATGGTAAACCCGTGCAGCATGTGAAGTTGTAATCCGGATAGGTAGAGTTGATGTAAGTTAGAGGTGGCAAAAAGTGAAAAACCAACAGCAGACAACAAATCAAGAGACAGCAACAGAAAAGGTCCTCAAGGAGAAGAAGGCCCTAACACGTACCGCGAGCACCAGTAGAAAGAGCCAGACGTGAAAGATGACGACCACGAGCCAACAAGGCTGGCAGTCTGCGAGCGGAACGCGAAACGCAGGGAACAGCAGCGGCTACAGGAGAGGCCACGGGCAGAGCCATGCGGAAGGCGTAGAAGAGGCCCAGGAGAGATCGTACGAAAAAGATGCAGGAAAACTGGCTCGGAACCAGCCAGAGCGGCAGACGCCAGGTACCCAAGTTGCCGTTCGAAACCACCCCATAGACAACAGCAGCATAGAAAAACGAAATCGGGGCCCCCTCCAGCAACAGCGCAACCCCTGGAGGCGGACAGACGCTGAGAGTTCGGCTGTCCGAAAGGCTGCCGGGGAGGAAAAAGGTGGACTTGCGAGAACCGCGGCGACGCGAGGAAGAGACCAGGACACGAAAAGAAGGTAGGAGTAGCCAAAACTCCACAGCACGAAAAGACAAAGAAACAGAGCATTAGCGACCCAATGTGTGTGTGTGAGTGAGCGTGCGCGTTGTGTGCGTGCGTGTGCTGGCATACTAGCTAATGCCAAAAGGCGAAACAATTAAAACTAGGTTTGGTGACAGGTGAGGCCCTGCTAGATGCCAAGCGGCACGAGAGGCTCTATCTATTAGTTGGCGCAAGGGGATAACGTGGCCACTGAAACGTTGTGGCAGGGTGTTGGCCTCTCGGTGACAGTTAAACATAAGATAGAATGGGAGTGACAGGTGAGGCCCTCTCTATGCCACATGCGAGGCGACTAACTATGATTTGGCCCGAGGGGCGCAGTACCTCCGGGTATGAGGAAAGGTGTCGGCCTCGCGGGACCACTAACCTAAGGCAAAGAAGACAGGGGGGAATTACCAACTAGTGGACACCTAGGACCCTGACAGCCAGCAACAGCTAACTAAGAGGGGAGAAAAGGTAGCGTAAGAGAGGACAGAATTGATGAATGCATATGGAAAATGTGAGGTGAATGAAGAAGTACCGCAGCGCCGACCATAACTGAGGTGCAGAGGAAGCATGACAGCATGGTCCGGCTGTATGGAGCATGACCGGCAATAGGTAATAGAAATACGGGTTGACGCGAAGCCCACGGGACCCAGTGCGAGCATGCGTGAGTTCGAGCGTGTGTGTGTGTGTGCTGGCATACTAGCTAAAGCCAACAGGCGAAACAATTAAGACTAGGTTCGGTGACAGGTGAGGCCCTGCTAGATGCCAAGCGGCGTGAGAGGCTCTATCTATGAGTTGGTGCGAGGGGATAACGTGGCCACTGTGCGTTGTGGCAGGGTGTTGGCCTCTCGGTGACAGTTAAACATAAGATAGGATGGGAGTGACAGGTGAGGCCCTCTCTATGCCACAATGCGTGGCGACTAACTATGATTTGGCCCGAGGGCGTAGTACCTCCGAGTATGAGGATGGGTGTTGGCCTCGCGGGACTACTAATCTAAGGCGAAGAAGCCAGAGGGAATTACAACTAGTGGACATCTACGACCCTGACAGCCAGCCACAGCTAACTCAGGATGTACCGTGGGACGAAAATGGGTTTGCCGTAAACAAATATGAAAGTGTCAAATCTGGTTGTGGTTGATTAGTGAACATCCCCCATAGACCATAACAATTATCAAGCCGGAAATCGCAGGTAGTAAAATTCCAAGATCGTGGAAATCAGAGCGAAGTTGCGTAACTTTTAAATCACTCCATGTATTAAATGAATTTACCAGCCTAAAGCGTAGAGATCCTGATTGCGATCCACACCAATTCAGTGAAACAAACCCCACGCGTCAGAGTATGGAAAGCATGCAAGGAACCCCAATCATGTGCTAGGATGCAAAAGTATACTGTTATAGGAGGCATACAGCATTATGCAGAGGGAACAGAAAGTGCATGCTGTTGTGGTTCCCCCACCCGAGTACCCCCCGACCAAAGTCTACGATCTCCCAGCACCATGGATTATATATGCACTACTGGAGGGATGTATAAATGACACCCACTATGTTGTTAAAAACTGAGCAATAATTAAGGGACTTGCTCACTACCATAGGCACAAACATATAGGTTACTATATGGATAGGCACAAACATAAAGATAGTGGAGAAACAGGGGTGTGATTCACCACTATATGTGCAAGGGGATTCCCAGAACAGGTATCCCCTGTTTATTAAACCCAGCTGCTGCAGAACCTCTCTAACCACAACTAGGTTAAATGTATATATTTTATATATATATATTGTTTTGGTTTTTTTTTGGTTTAATATTGTGTATCACCTCCTGCTTACTTCCACAGTACACCATTCCTGTCCCTAGAAAAAAAATAAAAATAACTACTGACCAAAACTAAACCAAAGCAATATACTGCAATGCACTCATAGAAAGACTTCCGAGTACCTTCTAGGGGTCTGTGGGGTCTATTAGCCGGGGAAGCCGTAAACTAGCGCCATATAGACTGTTTTCTTTCTCCTATAACCAGGAAAGCCGGCGTCCGAGTTGTTAATCTTTTAATCCATCTGTCCCAGTAACTGTATTGAAGGAACAACAAAGGGGATCGTCTGGTAATAGTTCGGTCCATCTTACATCGTATAATAATTTGTGAATGAATCTTGGACCAACTTCCACCAAAGAAGACTTCCAATTCCGGGCTATTGATAATTTGGCAACCATTAGTATGTGGAGGGCAACCGAACCAAGACTTCTATCGATTGCCTTCATCATATCCATATGTAACAAAGCCATGTTCAGAGTCCGTTTTAGCTTCTTTTTTAGTAAGGTAGACAGATACTGACTCGTTACTTCCCAAAGATATTGGATTATCAGGCAATCCCACCAAATATGTTTAAAATCTACTATTCCTTCAGGGCATCTCCAACATACCGAGCAGGCTGTAGGATAAATTTTTACAATTTTTTAAGGGGTTCTATTCCATCTATTTAATATATTATAATGGGTGTCATGCATATTCAGACAATGAAAAGCTTTATACAAAGTCATAAGAGAATTGTTCCATTCTTTCATACTTAGGTGTATATTCAAATCATGATTCAATTATGCAATTGCCAAAGGAGTTGGCTTTACTTGTATTTTATAAATTAGTTTTTTACATTTATTAACTAAGTAGGTATAATCTGCTTTTTCAAGCAAATCATTCGAAATCTTAACTGGGGACTCAAGAAAGTTGAATTTTAAATTACTTTTTAGAAAAGAAATTATTCTTATATAATTGAGCAATTCTGTAGATGTGAACTATTTTCGTCATGGAGTTGGTCGAAAGATTTAAAAACAGTTCCTCTTATTAGGTTAGAGATCTTTTTTATACCTTTGTAAATCCAAATTTCTAGGTTTATATCTAACATTAAATTTGATAATATTTTTAATTGTATAGCTGGTATTTTTTTTATTTTATACCATTATTTTTTTTTAAAGAAACCAAGTTGGGAAAATGTGTTGAACTATTAGTGAATTTTAGGTTTTAATATAATGTGTATCTTCTTTATCTATCGACCATAGTAAGGACTTCTAATCTCTATTACCTATGGTCCAGGTCTGTTCGCTAATATACCAGTTTTCATTCTTAGAGTCTTTCTTATTGACAAATAAAATATGTGCCAATAAATTGGCTTGTGCAATATCCTGGATAATTGGAATATTTAGGAAGGCTGAACTTGATGGACGCTAGTCTCTTTTCAGCTATACATCTATGTAGCCAACACATCGCTTGTAATGTGACATAATTAATTATATGTACCCCAGTCAAGGGGCTCTACCGTTATACATGATTAAAGAAACACTAAAGCATTACGAATGCAAACATGTATTCCTAATGCTGTAGTTCCCTAGTCACCTTTAAGGTTAATGGTCCCCCTATAATTTGTTAAAAAGAGACATTTACTTACCTTTTCTCCCTCACCATACTGCTCTCAATCTTGCTGCCTTAGCTCCGGGGCAAGATTGCAGCAATCAGCATCTCCTCATAGAGGTGAATTGAGTCAATGCATTTCTATGGGGATCAGTGCGCAGGACCAAATTATGGAAGGGGCTCTAGATGCCATCTGAATGACAGCACCTAGAGGTGTGAACATGAAAAAAAAAAGTAAACACAGTTTTGTATCTAAAAATGTAGTGTTTACATTGAAAAGACTGCAGGGACATGCTATAGACTAAAACTACTACATTAAATCTGTAGTGTTCCTGGTGACTATACTGTCCCATTAAACACACAGTGTTATATATGAACCTAAAACAATATAGGCACTTTTTCAGGACGTGTACAGGAAGTTTTTGTGTGTTGGCTCGGGAGGTGTGACTAGTGTCACATAAACAAAGAAATGTAACTCCTAAATGGCAGAGAATTGAGCAGTGAGACTGCAGGAGCATGATCTATACACCAAAACCACTTTATTCAGCTAAATATGTTTTTTTGATTATAATGCCCCTTTAATCTAGAATTAATTATTTCATATTCTGTTAATAGCCTGCAGGAGCCTCTGGTGTCTGATTAAAGTTCAATTAACACAGCAGGAGATAAAAATGCTAAAGTGAACACACTGTCATGTAAGAGCCGATTAACAATTAGGAAATATATATAGGGGAGGTGTGGCTAAGGCTGTATAAACAGAAATACATTTTAACTCCTAAACAACAGAGAATTGGGCAGTGAGACTACAGATACCTAAACATACTATTATGTTATGTTAGGAGAACATATTATGTATCTACTGTTGTAACTTGTTATATGAAAAGAAGATTTTAGTAATGGAACCACTTTAAATTGGTCCTTGGATTGCTGTAATCGCAGCATGGTGCATTACATTTTAGCATTCCGAAGATTTTAAGAAGCAATACAAAGGAAAAAACAGAAACTCCTGGAGAACAGTAACAGCACGATACAATGGCATCTTTTTTTCAATTCAATCCCATTGTACTCAAGATTTTTGATTGTCTTAAATGAATATGTGGATTCTCAGCTGTCAAAAAATGTTTTGAAAATTATACAAAAAGGTCACGCATTAAAGATAGACTCATCAATCACCCATAAATCAGCATAAATCTTTTCATGTCATCAGCAGGATTTTGGAACGCTGCTAAGATGTACAGTATAGGAAGCTCATAAGTGACTTTTGGAGCTGGAAGTCGGCCAACCATCAGCACACCAGAAACAAGGACAGCAACTAAAATGACTGTTTCAATCATTGTATATAAGCCAGAGAATATCTACATTTTATTCCATTGGAAGGTCATATGTCGGAAATGGTTTATATGTTAGTTGGGGGACTATACATCAAACGTAAAGAAGAAAAAACTACTACAAATTATTTGGGAATCTTCCACTTAAAAACAAATATGAATTATTTATAAATAAAATATATTAATTTATTTATAAAATAATTTAACAAGAAGAATACATTGAATTTTCTCTGATTTACAAATGTGTCCT